GGAATGCTGAGGCAGTTGATCAGTGATTCTCTCTCATCATTGATGTTTCTCTCTCTCTCTCTCTCTCTCTCTCCCCCTCTCCCTTCCTCTCTGAAATCAACAAAAATAGATTTAAAAAATAAAAAGGATGCAGCGAACATGTTTAAACATAAAGTGTAGGTCCCCACTTTCAATTATGTCCTTAGGATGGGGTTCTTGAGGTCATGGTGGAGAGGCTCCATTCATCACCATTTGCAAGGCCAAGCGGTTTCCATCTTGCTCTGTCTTCAACAGCGCTGGATTTGATCCTTCTGACATTTCCACTGCTGGATAGGGGCAGAAATGTAGCTTAATTTAGTTTCAATTAAACATTTTTTTTCTGAGTAAGTTTATCTTTTTATTTTGGAAATATACATTGAGAAGATTTTTCTCTGGTAAGAAATAGAGCCTTTAAGGAGGTGTCTCAACTCCTAGGGGTAGAAACATGAAATAGTTGGATATTTTCCCTATGCAACTGCCCCTTTATTCCATTTCAAATGATTTTAAAGTGAATACTGTGTAACCATGACCCAGGTTGAGAGCTAGAACATGCCTAGCGGCCACGAAACCCCTCACATGCCTCTTCCTGCCTACGGCTAACCGCTGTCCTGACTTGGTGATGATTGTGTCTCTGTCACTCTTACAGAAGCCCTTGTACACTTGTACTCTTCCTTGTACACTTCCTCCTCTTGTTTTCAAGATTCTCGTGGTCTTTGGCTTTTGACAGTTTGATTAGAATATGTCTCAGTGTGGATTGCTTTGAGTTTATCCCTTTTGGAGTGTTTTGAGCTTCCCGGATGTGTGGCTTCATGTTTTTTATTAACACCCGGCCGGACAGTTGACAGTTCTTTCTTCTCCCTCACGTCCTCTTTGCTCTGAGCCTCAGGGTCAGCCAGACGTGATCACTTAGGGCCCTCTCAGGTCTTTCCTGGGCATCTGCACAGCCTCGGGCCTGCATACAGCTTTCAAGGTTCCCTTGTGGGCATCTCGTTCCCCCAGCCTCTCCTATCACGCTTTCTGCTTAGTCTATGGTTTGTCTCAACTCTTATCCACCACCTCAGGCAGCAGGTACTAAATCATGTGCCTATAGCCGTTCCCCCCCCCCCCAGTGTACCCCCAAGGAGAGGTTTTAGGCTGCATAGCCTCTGGGCCCTCCCTTTGGAGGCTGTTTTTGCATGAACTCTCTAGCTAACCCTCTCCTCTGGCTTCTGGCCTTTCCCCGCTCTTGGCTTTGGCACAGACACTTGCCATATGTATACCGGGCACTCAGATACCTCTCTTCTTTTGGACTGAACTGCAACAGAATCCTCCATTTTAAAATATATCCTAACATTTATCCTAAGCACCACTATCACTATGACTCTCACCCCCAGTGTGTCTAATTGCTGTTAATAAATTACAGTCCACGCTGTCATTAATGTAATGGTGATCATTAGTCTTCTGCACTGCGTGCCATCTCAGCCGTGGTCACGGGACTGGTGGCAAGTTTTACCTTTTACTTTTCTTTTTTAAATATATTTTTATTGATTTCAGAGAGGAAGGGAAAGGGAGGGAGAGAGATAGAAACATCAATGATGAGAGAGAATCATTGATCAGCTGCCTCCTGCATGCTCCCCACTGGGGATCAAGCCCACAACCCGGGCATGTGCCCTTGACTGGAATCTAACCTGGGACCCTTCAGTCCATAGGCCGATGCTCTATCGACTGAGCCAAACTGGCTAGGGCAAGTTTTACCTTTTAGATAGGCACCCTTTTTGTCTAAGATGTGTGAACCCCACCCTCCGCCTTACCCTCCCCCTCTGTGCTTTGTTGGGTGGTGCTGCCTTACACGTAGAGGGCTTACTGCATGTCCAAGTTCAGTTCCTGATTTTGTTTGAAAGGAGTTCTTGGGCTGTAGACACCCCAGAGGCACGGTCCATGCCAAGGGCCAGTCGGAATGGCCTGTGCATTTCCCCTGTTCCCACCTGAAAACTTGAGGGCACAGGTCTTCACCACCTCCTCAAGGCTTCCCACTATGGAAGGTCTGTGTGTCTGTGCTACTTCCCCTCCCAGTATAAGAAGCTGGGCCACCAGTCTGGGTGCCAGTAGGCGGGTTATGTTGGTTGCTTGTCCCGTTGTCATTCACCAGTCATCATCTCCATTGGGTGGACCTGAGGCCCCATTTGACTTCCCAGGCCTCCGGAGTCCCCAGTGCCATGAAAATGTCAATGCACTTTGAAAACAAAGCATCCTTGTCTGTGCTGGGGGTGAGGGAGGGAGTTGACAGCACCAGCAAGGAGAGATCGAGATCGTAGCAGCTTTCTGGATGCTAGAAAGTGGATGGGAGCAATTTGATGGATGCAGGGGGTGGAGAAAACCACAGCATTGGGGGCGCGTGTGTGCCCGGTGGCCCACAGCCCTGGCGAGGGGGCATTGGCAAGTAGGCCGGAAGCAGAGGGCGAAAGCCAAGCAGGTCTTTACAGGTTGGTGCTCCCAGTGAAATGGACCCCATTGAAATGAATGAATGGTAATCCCAGGCAGCAGCCCAGGTGAAGTCCACCTGTTTCTGGCCTCTGAGGGTCCATGGCATGGGCTGACCCCCGTCTGTTCCTGCTGCTCTGCCCCCACAGAGCTCCTTTGGTGGAGGGCAGACCTTGCAGGGAATGGAGACTCCACCAGAACACAGCAGGGCCAGCACCATGAAAGACAGAAGACCTGGAAAGCTGGGCTAATGGATCTTTCAGAGAAATGAACTCGCATACTCAATACAGCAGGTCCTCAAATAATGTCCTAGTGGTAGAATATTGATGAGATGCTATTTTATTCCTTAGCTCAGTGGTCAGCAAACTGCGGCTCGACAGCCACAGGCGGCTCTTTGGCCCCTTGAGTGTGTCTCTTCCCCATAATACCGACTTCTGCGCATGGGCCACGAAGTTTCAATCCCACTGTACGTGCGTGCCCGCCGTGGTATTTTTGTGGAAGACCACACTCAAGGGGCCAAAGAGCCCGCGTGTGGCTCCCGAGCCCGCAGTTTTCCCGCCCAGTAAGGCTTAGCCTATGGTAGAATTGGTTTCATTATGTTATTTTACTAGAGTTCCAGAACTCACTGACATCATTAAGTGAAGCCTTATATCATGTCCAAATGAAAAGCAAGGTGCAGAAAAACAAGCTAACGCTCCTACAAGTTAAAAAGGCTTGCCAGCGTGTTGAAAAGTCAATAGAGAGGTAGACAACAAAATGAGGCAACAAATATCTAAGAGTAGAAAGAAAACAGAGAAAGAAAATGAAGACAGAGAAGTAATGCAGAGGCCCGATTCAGGTGGCTAACAGGCTCTCCAGAGAAAGAGGAAGGAACATGGAGGGTGGAGGGTGGAGGATACCAGTGAAGCAACAGGTGCACAGAGCTGAGGGGGTGAGTCTCCAGTTTCCAAGCCTAGAACAGATGAAACCAAAGAGACATGTGCCCAGGCCCACCCAGCCTTCTGAAGTCCAGAGTAGCAGGGATGCAGGGCTGGGGCACAAAGCTTCCAGAGAGAAAGCCTGGGGCTTCCGGCCTGGGATCTGAGACCCAGCCAAGCTCAGCCAACACAGGGCCAGGTAGTGACTTGAGTCTGGGACAGAGTGGAGACATGTTAACTGATTTATCAGCTAGGGTGGGGGCAGCCTGGGAGAGCAATGGGCTGGAGCAGCGGTCGCCGACCTTTTGGACCTCATGGACCACCAGTTGGCGACCGCTGGGCTAGAGGGTCTAGAGGTTGGGAAAACTTAAGGATCCCATGAAGGCAGATAATACCCAAGGTGACTTAGGAAGAGCCTGTCTGTGGAGCAATGTGATCGCAACAGGAAGAGTGCTATCGTGACCCCAGCGAGAGCCGAGAGCGTCAATGTCAAGTGGGGAGGGTGTTCGGGACCCATCCGGGGTGGGCCCAGCTTGGTCCCAGCTCTGCCAGGAGTCTGCCTGCTCTAGCTTCTCCCTGAGGCCAGTCACCTTGAGGCACACCCCATGATTCCTGAGCTTCAGAGTCACCCTTGGGACGGGCAGGACCAAATGCCAATTAACTACCTTGCCATGTGGATGGGCAAGGAGGCAGGGAAGCAGGTTGGTGGAGGAGAGAATAGGTGTGGGTTTAAGTTAAGGCACCACCGCCAGGGAAACCCCCATACCCAGCGTGGGGGAGAGGAGTGAGCTCAAGTGCCCCCATTCCATACCCAGTGGTCATCTGAAGTTGGTACCTTGAGAGGCAGATGTGTGTTGTGGCAGTGTCCCCCACCCCTGAAAGCAAAGCAGCAGGTCACCACTAAGGACCATGTCATTTGATTTGTGTTTGATCGAGTCACAACAACCTGTCCCACCCCCCTTCCATCTGCGTGGCCCTCACTGCTCTCCAGCACATGGTCTCTCCAGCCCCTTTAACAACGACTGGTTCAGTTGTTTCTGGTTCACTGTGGGAACCAGCCCCATGGCCCTCCCCACCCCACCCCCAGCGGTAAGCCCTTTGGTGGCCGTGGGAGGCGCTAGACTCACTTTGTGGTTTGTATTTTTCTTTGCTCTGCAGCCGCCAAAATGGAAGAACTAATCCAGAAATATAAGCTCTTCAGTGTAAGTCTGAAAAAGAGACTCGAAGAAGGCTTCGATCTGGAAGTTGCACTCTGAAGAGCCAGGCAGCCGGGGTGACCGAGCCATCGGCAGGGGAAGCAGTTATAACCCTCATGTTCTCCAGGCATAGCCTCCAAATGCATGGACCTTCAGCTCCTTGTGGGGGGTGGGGGGCGGGAAGGGGCAGAGGTTGGGGGGTGGGGCAATGTGAGCTGAAGAAAAAGGAAACCGTAGGTTAGAAGAAATTGCCTCTCGCCTGCTTTTTGCTTCTATGGCTCTGCGTGATGGCCTCCTTCCTTCTTTCCTTCTGCTGTGTGGCCCGTGGTGCCTGCTGCCCAGTCCTCCCTTCACATCCTGGTGGTTCTGGGGCCTGGGCCACACCTGCCATGTGCCACCTGCTGTCCTGGGGGGCCTGGGCCCTGCCCCACTCCTTCCTCGCCTGCATGGGCACGAGTAGCTCCTGTTGCTTCACTGTATCCCCTGCCACACTTGGCGATGCCAAGTGCTGGAAGTCTCCACGTTGCCATGACATCTGACCGGCTATGACCATAGCCTGCCCCCTGCCCAGCTGCAGCCTCTCCTGTGATCAGTCTCAGGGTCCTCTGTGAGGGCTTCTCGCAGTCCCTCACCCCCATCCCTTGCACCCAGTACATCGGGGATCCAGCGGACCCGGCCCATGTTCCCTCTTCCCTCCTCCCCAGGGCGCCTGGTACCAGCCAGGGGAATTCTTGCTGGTGACCTGACTGGTTGTCCAGGAAGCTGTTCTCTGGGCTTTTCAGGATGACCCAGTATCTTCCTGAGCAGTGTGCCTGTCACAGCCACCTCCCTCCCTTCTAGCACAAGAACAGGCACAACTGGTGGGGCCCTGTCTCCGTCAGGCCTAAGGGGGGGGGCCTCCCTCTAAACACTCGCCACCAGCCTCACTGGCACCTCCTCTGTCCCGTTCCCTGCAGCTGCACCTTTGCTTCCCCAAGTCTCCTGTGGGTGCTGCAAAGCGGAGGCTCCCGGGAGCTGGGTGCCAGGCCGCCTCTTGCTCAAGCTGCCTCCTCCCCGAACCTGGTTGCCTGCCTGGGGCATCCCCTACACGGTTATAGTAGGAGGTGGGAGGACAAGCAGGCTCAAGGTCACTGCCTAGGTGAGCCAACAACTTTACAGGCCAACTGCTGGCACATCTTGCTCGAGAACGAGGTTCTCAGATGATGCCACCTGCTTCCTGGACCAGGGATGGCCTTGCCACCTCCGCCGCCTCCTATCTTAACTGTGTCCTTCACCCTTGGCCAAACCTAGTGGGCTAGGAAGGCCCTGGAGCCCAGGGGCTGAGGGGCTGGGCTTCACCCCTGCTCCCGTGGTCCTGAGGTTGTTGGTGCTGTTGGGACAGCCTGCTACTCCGCCCCTCACATTGCTCCTTCAGAGGGGAAGGGTTGGCTCACCTGAAACACATGGCTCAAAGGGCCAGGCCTTGTGCCTCACCATAACCCGGAAGCCCCTGCTACAGGCGCCTTAGATATTGTGAGTCATTGTACCCATGAGGCAGATACCATTTCCTCTTCCTGGCCCCAAGGTGGTTGAGCTGCCCCCAGTCACGGGGGTGCTACTAAGGCCCCATCCTTAGAGTGCACCCTTCCCCTTCATGGCCGAATAAGGTGTGTGCGGGTGCTTCTTTCCAACTCCAAGGTCACTGTCCTCACAAGAGGCAGCCTGGTCCTCTATGACAAGGGGACTGTGCCCTGGATAGGGGGCCTCGTGCCTCTGTGAGAGGGGCCTCAGCGTGGGGCTGGGCATCAAACCCAGGTAGGCCAGGCCCAGCTCCTGCGGCCTGGCCGGCTCAGACTTGCAGACACGGCTGGGCGGGAGGCTCGCGCTTCCTCCTTGTGCCTGTGACGACACGTCCTCAGCCCATGGCGCATGGGCTGGTCGAGATTCTGCTTTGGGAGCCTGCTTCCCGATCTGTAAACACGGGCGGGCGTGTATCCGGTGGCTGTGAGCGAGTAAGAGGATGGCGAGCCGGCCACACAGGTCCTACGGCCTCAGGCCTCCTTGTTGCCCAACAGGCGGCTGAGGGCGGGCCATGGCTGCTGATTAAAGGGCACTGATTAAAGGCCGCCTGGAGCAGCCTGTGTGCAGGAGACAGGTGCCCAGCAGCCCAGGAAGCCAGCCACAGCGTCCGCCCCAGGTAAGCCAGCGTGGCTGGGTTGGCGAGGACAGCCACTGAGAGCCCGGAGGCAGGTGGAGGCCAGGTTGGGGCCAGCGCCTGAGTGCCAGGGAGGCTGGGGACGACTGAGGCTTTCCCAGGTGCCTGCTTCCTGGCAGCTGACCCTAGGGGTGCACACCTGGGCTGCTATGCCTGAGGCTCCTGGCTATGGCGTCTCAGTGAAGATACCATCCTGGGCTATGCCTCCCACATCGCTGATGACAGGGACCTGAAGGCAGGAGGCAGAGGCCTCTGGTCACATCAGGCCTTTTTTTTGCCCTTTACTACTTGGTAGTGGGGATGGCCAGGGAGGGACTAGGGGCCAGGATGGAGGGGGTGATGAGCCCCTGGCAGGCCTCATCCTGGACAGAAGTGACAGTCCCTGGTCCCTGGGTCCAAGCTCGGGAGGCCCCTTAGCAGGGTCCCTGAATGTGGGCCTTAGAAATTGCCCCTAAAGCCTCAAGTCTTACCGAGTGGAGTGTGGGTGGTACGAAGGAGACCCAGAGGGGCTGGAGCCTTGGCCACTGGGACATCTGCAGGTGGCTGGGCCCAGGCATCCCCATCTCTGGCCCTCAGGTTTTGTGCCTCTTGCTCTGGCAACTTTAGGTGTCACTGTCCCTGTGCGAACGTCACCATGTCAGAGGTTCCCCGGGCTGAGACCTTTGTCTTCCTGGACCTGGAAGCCACTGGGCTCCCCAATGTGGACCCCGAGATTGCTGAGATATCCCTGTTCGCCGTCCACCGCTCCTCTCTGGAGAACGCAGAGCGCGATGAGGCTGGCACCCCCATGCTGCCCCGCGTCCTTGACAAGCTCACGCTGTGCATGTGCCCGGAGCGCCCCTTCACCTCCAAGGCCAGCGAGATCACGGGCCTGAGCAGCGAGGGCCTGGCTCAGTGCCGGAAGGCTGGCTTCGACGAGGCCGTGGTGCGGACACTACAGGCCTTCCTCAGCCGCCAGGAGGGCCCCATCTGCCTCGTGGCTCACAACGGCTTTGATTACGACTTCCCCTTGCTGTGCACGGAGCTGCAGCGCCTAGGTGCCCACCTGCCGCAGGATACCACCTGCCTGGATACACTGCCAGCACTGCGGGGCCTGGACCGTGCCCACAGCCATGGCACCCGGGCCCAGGGCTGCAAGGGCTACAGCCTGGGCAGCCTCTTTCGCCGCTACTTCCAGGCAGAGCCGAGCGCGGCCCACTCGGCCGAGGGAGATGTGCATACGCTGCTCATGGTCTTTTTGCACCGCGCGGCCGAGCTGCTCACCTGGGCCGACGAGCAGGCCCGCAGCTGGGCTCACATCCAGCCCATGTACACGCCGCCCGATAGCCCGAGCCTGGAGGACTGAGTGCCAGGGGCCCCTTCACATCACCACCCAGGGGGGCAAGGTCCGCTTCCTGCACCACAAGCAGCACCAGCATTGACCATCCAGCCCCACTGAGGTCTGGAGCAGGCACTGGACCACTACCTCTCTCCCTGGCCCCATCCTCAGCTGGGCATCTTCTTAGCTGGGCACTTGCCAGGCCTTCCCTGGGCGCTGGCCCACCCAGCCCCCAGCCTCACCCCCAGCCCACTGGAGTTTGCCACTTCGGGCTCCCACCCTTCACCCTGCCTTACAATAAACATTGCCAACTGTTCACCAGCTGAATTTCTGCTCACCTCCTCCCCGCCATGTCCTGCCCAGAGGGCCAGGCAGGGAGCCCAGTCAGGGCCCAGGGGGCAGCCCCACAGGTCTGGCCTCTTGTGGCCTCTCCCTGCTGGGAGCTCAGGGCTGGGGATGGGGGTGGGGGGTGGGAAAGACGTGAGTGCTCACACGCTGTGGGCCCCGAGCCACCGGCCTCCTCCTTGGCTGGTCTACCTTTGCCTCCTTGCATTGTCACCTCAGAGGCCCAAGAAATGAGTGAACAGGGCCTTAGGGACATCTGCTGTGGCCCCAAGAAAGAAAGAGCTGCCGCCCCAGCCCCCAAGGAGCTCCGGCTTTTCCAGGAGGAGGGGGAGCGGGGGCGGAGCCCACCGGGGCAAAGCTCAGCTCCAGCACTTGCCAGCTCCTCCCTCTCCCGGAGCCCCTGCTGCGGGATGGGATGATATGATAGGTTGGTAGACTAACGCAGTGCCTGGCAGGATCGGAGTGCTGGGGAGGAGGGGAGGCACCCACAGCCGCACGCAGGCACATACATGCAAAGGGCCCACTGGAGTGTACGGGGTGAGGGGGATAATGGAGGCTCTAGGCTGCACCCAGAGGCAGTCTGGGCTGCAGAGCTGACCTGAGGCATGTAGAAGAGGCGGGGTAGCTGGTGCAGTGAGGGCGACACCTAGGAGTCCGTCCTGGGCCCCATATTCCTCATGGCAAGGCCTGAGGAGGACCTGGAGGCTGCTCCGTGGGGAGGGCAGCTGCTTCGGCTGGGCTTCTTGGGGAGCCAGCTAACCTGCTTCTGGGGGCCCCGCCTGTGTCACCAAACAATGGGGCAAGGCACGGAAGGGATATCCAAGAGACAGGGAGAACAGGTGAGCAGGAGTGGGGTGGCCACGCCCGAGAATGACTCGCATGAGCAGAGCCTTGAGTCTTGATCCAGCTGGGCCCGTTTGGGGAACCCTAAGTAGGTCAAAGTGACTAGAGCCACTACAATGTGCAAGTTGGCAGAATGGTGAGGCCAGATCACGGGCAGTGGCCATGTCAGGTCATCCTCATTCACTGGGCCAGAGGGTCTGGACTGACCCTGAGGGCAATGGGGAGCCACAGAGGGTTGTAAGCAGAAGGGGGGCAGGATCTGGTTTCTGTTTTTACAATACCTCTCAGACTGCTATGTGGAGAAGGAGAGCGAGCCTGGAGGGGGAGGACGGCTACTGAGGGAGAAAGAAGCAGCCTGGACGGTGTGGCTCAGTGGTTGAATGTCGACCTATGAACCAGGAGGTCATGGTTGGATCCCCCGGTCAGGGCACATGCCCAGGTTACAGGCTCAATCCCCAGTGTGAGGTGTGCAGGAGGCGGCTAGTCGATGATTCTCTCTCATCATTGATGTTCCTCTCTCCCTTCCCCTCTATAAAAAAAATATTTTTTAAAAAAAGTGCCCTAGCTGGTTTGGCTCAGCGGATAGAGCGTTGACTTGCAAAATGAAGGGGCCCAGGTTCGATTCCGGTCAAGGGCACATGCCCGGGTTGTGGGTTCAATCCCCAGTGGGGGACTTGCAGAAGGCAGCCAATCCATGATTCTCTCTCATCATGGATGTTTCTATCTCTCCCTCTTCTTCTTCTCTGAAATCCATAAAAATGTATTTTTAAAAATCTCAGACACTTCATAAAAAAAAAAAGAAGTAAAGGGGTTGGGGCCTAGCCAAAGACAGAATGGAAGGGGTGGGAAGGGTGTGAGATAAGGGAAAGACGGGCAGGGGCTAGTTTGGGAATGTGGCCTTTACACTGCGGAGCTCCCTGAGAAGGGCTAGTTGGCTCCCTGCCTCAGGAGAGCACCCACCTGGGAGGCACCACAAGGCCGGGCCGGGGTGGGGCCTCAGGTCAGTTGCCTGTACCAGGCAGGAGCTGAAAGAATTGGGGCACCACGAGGATCTAGGCAGCCAGGGCTTCTCAGATCCGCTGGTGCCTCAGCAGAGCTGAGTCCCCTTTATTTGGCTGGCCAGGCTCTGGGCCACTGACTCGCGAAGTGGGTGATGCCAAGAGGGTCCCTTCACACTCAGCAGGTAAGCCAGGAGGGGCTGGACTCCAGGCCCTGGGGAGCAGGTCGACACCCCAATTCATGGCCACTGCCATCGTCCCAGAGTAGTGTCTGGTTCGGTGCCCTCTCATCTTTGGGAGGGCCAGGTGCCTTTCTCTCACCGCTCTGGGCTCTCCTGACCTCATGGTAGCCTGGCTGTGGGTGCCCTCTCTGAGCCCATGCTTGAACTGGCAGGGCTAAACTTGTTGCCTTCTGTACTGTACGTATAGGCTGGGGCCTGCCTTACTGCTGCCTGGAAGCAGTGATATGCTGATAAATGGATGCCAGCAGCTTTCCAGGAAAGTAAATGTAAACCATCTATCTATTATCTATCTACTAGTACCTATCTATCTATTATCTGTCTATCTATCTATCTATCTATCTATCTATCTATCTATCTATCTATCTATTTCTCCTTCATATTTTTTAAAGGAATGTTTTCATTTTATTTTTTATTTTTTTGTTAACCCTCACCCATGGATATTTTTCCATTGATTTTTAGAGAGAGTGGAACGGAGGGGGAGAGACAGAGAGAGAGAAACATTGATGTGAGAGAGACACATCAATTGGTTGCCTATCGCACGTACCCGGACAGGAGTTGAGATGGAGCCTGCAACCGAGGTACGTGCCCTTGACCGGAATCGAACCTGGGATCCTTCAGTCCACGGCCTGATGCTCTATCCACTGAGCAAGACTGGCTAGGGCAGTGGTTCTCAACCTTCAGGCCCTTTAAATACAGTTCCTCATGTTGTGACCCAACCATAAAATTATTTTCGTTGCTACTTCATAACTGTAATGTTACTACTGTTATGAATCGTACTGTAAATATCTGATATGCAGGATGGTCTTAGGCGACCCCTGGGAAAGGGTCATTCAACCGCCAAAGGGGTCGCGACCCACAGGTTGAGAACCGCTGGACTAGGGCCTCTCCTTCATCTTTAATAAGTTTATTATAAATTTTACTGGTGTAAAGGATGTGAGCACACAATTTACACATAATGAAATCTCCAATATATGTAAAATATACAATCACATACACAATACACTATTTATAAATTTCATATGGCCAGTTGATTCTCATACAACCCCTTTGTTAACTTTTGCCAAACTCTTGTATCTGTACCCCACCCACGATTGCAACTGAAGAATGAACGTGGTTCCCACTACAATGTTGGTTGATATTTTCGTTTGTCTTAGTAAGATGAAAGTGAAACAACAAAGATGTATGTCAGAACTTCATACATTCGTTGGTGACATGAGTGACTCCTTTGCTGAATTGGATAACACTTTTTGATATTAGAAAATTTCTTTCTTTTCTTTCTTTTTCTTTTTTCTTTTTTTGCTATTCACAGTGGAATGACTACAGACTCAAGTGTACATAATCAACCAAACAATAATAGTTTACACTCTGGTTTGTAGTGTGTGCTGATTCCTATGGTGTAAATACTTCCACCAGGCCAATTTCAGGCTGCACATGATGTCAGTGAATGTGAAGTTGGGAAGAGATTCCCAGTAGCACACTGCAACATAGATTCCCACCAAACGAACACGATAGGTAACAGTAAAATGTGGTGAAATAAGACATGAGTTTTGATTATCTTCATCACTTTTAATATAATTTAAGTGGAAATTATAAAATTTAATTTTTAATAATAAAAATCCCTGAATATTTAACATCTATTAGGATAGCCAAAATACAAAAGACTGACCATACAAACCGGTGGTGATGTGGGGGAACTGGAACTCTCAAACACTGCTGGGATGTAAGATGCTGCAATCACTTTGGACAAGTTTGGCTGTGTCTTAAAATGTTAAACATGCATCTACCATGACCCAAAGATTCCAGGGGTACTTATTTACCCAAGAGAAATGAATGAATGTGTCCATACAAAGACTTGCACACCACTGTTCCTGGCAGCTTTATGCATAGCTAGAGGCCCGGTGCACGAATTTGTGCATGGGTGGGGGTCCCTCGGCCTGGCCAGCAAATGAGGCCTATGGGGGGGGGGCGGGCAGGGGGAGGGAGGGGCCATGGGGAGGGGCCATGGAAGGTTGGCTGGCCGGGCGGGGGGGGGGGGAGGGTTTAGGGCCTCCGGAGGGTTGCTGTGGGAGTGCACTGACCACCCAGGGGAAGCTCCTGCATTGAGCGTCTGCCCCCTGGTGGTCAGTGCACATCATAGCAACTGGTCGACCAGTCGTTCCGGTTGTTTGGTTGTAATGGTTGCTTAGGCTTTTATATATATAGATAGCCCCAGACCAGGAACAACCCAAATGTTCCTCAGTGGGGTAAGCTGTGGGACAAACTGAGGCATACCCACATCAGGGACTCAGCTGAGCTCTGAGATACACAGCAGTTGGGGCGGGGTTGGGGGGGGGGGGGGCGCCTGGGACTCATAGTCATTATTCTGGGTGACAGGTGCCAGACCCAAAGAACCAATTCTGCTGCAGCTCACCCTGGTCAGCCACCTGTCTCTCGTCACAATGCATCACTGGCTGCTAAGCCACATCAGTGTCTACCAATGGGGAAGTGGCTGTGATCAGGAGAATACTTGGGGGATATCTGACCCAAGCCGATTGAAACCGGAATTATTCCTGCAGAGGGCTGAGTGCCAAAGTAGCAGGGCCAGGAGCATCTCCAGGTCTTCCTTGTGCAGGAGGCAATGTGAGGAGGACCAAATCCAAACCAGGCCGTGCAGGAACCTGGAGCAGACGCTGGAGACATGGAATGGGCTGGCCCGCCTGCGTTCTTGTCTTGCAGAAACGACTGGGTGTTGGTGTTTGCAGTAACCAATGCCTGGCGTGAGTGTCTGAAGTTTCACATCAGAGACTCCCGTCCCCTAAGAGCAGCTTGGGCCTGGGTTCATGCACACGTGCATCCGACATTCACAAAAAACACTCACTCGCAACTCCCCACTTTCCCCACCACTCACA